TATTCACAACTCTCTAATTGATCGAAATCTGAAACTTGATTCTCGAGATCTAAACAATTAATAAATGGGTGAATTACACTACTCTATTCAGTATCACACTACTCATCGATACAGAAAATGAAGGTTGGTAAAAATCATAAAAATAACCAATAAACCTCTTAATTTAAGTAATTTCATTTATTATAAGTAAAACTATTTATTGCATACTTTCCGTTGCAAGATTTTTAAAACTGACTTATAAAGATAATACCTTTGCAACATCATAATCTCGTATTCAAGTACGTAAAAATAACAACTTTCCCTTTTTATTTGCCTACTGGTATCCATGAGGGTCCATAAGGATGTCCTACTACGCGTGAACCAGCATCCAACCTTGTCAACTAACCGGTCGTCCCCATACCCCGTCCGGTATGAGCGCCAAAGATACCATCCCTCAATACCCCGTCCGGTATGAGGGTGAAACGGACCGTCCCTATATCTCATCTGGTATGAACGCCAAAAATACAAATTCTCGATACCCTGTCTGGTATGAGGCGACGTTCACGGTAGGATTCCCTATATACCTGGTCTGTCCACCATCTCTCAGGATATCCAGTAAATCTACCATTCATTCATTCACTTAACCAATCAATTTTTTATTTACATTTAATTTTCAGTTTCACAATTTAACCGTAAATCAACGCAAAACAAACAATACATGCATTAAGGAAAACACAACTGAATTATTTTACCAATTTCAGTATATTATCATGCATTTAAAACTGTAAAATCAAACAATCGGTTAAACAGGACAAACAATAATAAATAACCGGTTCTGCCTCTATTAGTAACCTGTAATTAATTTTCGAAATTTTTTAAATTATACAAAATACCGTATTATTGATAATTAAACTTCAATTCCATAATAGAGAATAGGACGAGAAATTCTTACCCGAATCGGTGTACGAAACACCGAGCTTTCAGTTACACCTACTGGTGATCCCCGACTTTCCTTAATTTTTCTATGGAGATTAAAATACGCTTCGTGTACATAAAAATACCTCCAAAAAACTCAAAATTGGTGTTAAAAATCTTTTGCGGCAAATTTCAAAATTCCGGCACGACGGCACCGCAGCCTGTGGCGGCAGTTTGCCCCGGTCTGGCCGTTTTCAGCCAGTTTTGGCCGGTTTCGGCCAGTTTTATACTCATCCCTGTGAGAAAACTCGTTAGAGGGAATCAGTTGGCCGAAAAAAGTCAAAAAACAAAACTTACCGGCAGCGGAATTTTCCGGTGCGGCGGCTCCGCCAGCTCACCTTCGCGGCTGGACGTTTCTCTTCGATCAACCTGTAGAAAACAGAACGGTGAACACAATAGTGAAAAAATCGCACGAAATAGAAAACGGGAAAAGGCTCGTCGGAGGTGATTTTTGGTTTTGCCTGCAGTGGCGCCACTGGGCTTTACCCATGGTTTCCGACTCATCCGCCATTTCTTTTACTCCGATTTGATCATGGAGGTGTTCGAAATCAAATTACGAGCGGATAGGAGAATTTTTATTTTTTTTGGTAGTCGGAGGTGGCTCCGGCATAGCGGCGGGCGGCTCCCTTCTCCGGCGACTGGTTTTTCTTCTCCGATGGGGGCTAACGGCTAGAGTTTGAGCTCGATGTGATACGAGATATTTATACTCGTCTCCTTAAATCTGAGTCGTTCATCGCGTTTGATCTCAATTGTCTGATCGTATTTAAAAAGAAAATGAATCTGAACTGTTTATCGCGATTAGATCTCGTCCGTACAATCACGTTTAAAGAGGGAATGAATCTGAACCGTTCATCGCGACCGTCCGATCGCACCTGATGAGGGAACGGATCTAGATCGTCCACGCGTGCGGAAACGCATCCGGGCCGTTCGATTCGCGAATTCCCAGCGTGGCCTCCCGCGTGGCACTGAGTCAGCATCCCTTGCCACGTGGCATGCTTCAGTTCGTCGGGGCTGCTGACTGGGCAATTCTACATGGTGCAATTTTCTTTAATTGTGTTTTGACTCCCAGTTTCCGATTTTTCTTTCAAAAATACCATTCGAACCCAAATTTTCACATTTGTTTCCCAAAATTGTTTTCAATTTCATCATCCACCTATTTTTTTTCCTAATTTTACATTAGATAAAAATTTATAAATTTAAAAATTATATTTTTATATATTTTTTTAATTTTAAAATTAATCTCGAGTCAAATTTTGGGATCAGATATTACAAAAGAGAACTCTTCAAACAATCCAGACCCTTAGAACTTTTATGCACAACATGGTCATATAAGGAAACAACCCTAGAATTATCCCCCAAGATGATGCCATGATAAATGAAGAGTCACTCTAGAATTTCACAACAAACTGAATCAGCTAGAACTCTCAATCATCTCAGCTTAAAACTAGGATGGCAAGAAAATTGTGACCCGATAAACCCGTACCATCCTGACACAACTTGTCCCGATTCTTTTGTTGAAGAAACCAAATCAAGTTATGTACAGACAGTTTAATTTTCAATTGATTCTGGGTCAGATTTAGAAGCCATAAACTCATTCGGACCCAATTCTATTATACATAATATATTACACGTAATCTATTTGGTGTATATATGTAATAAATTAATATGTACAATTTGATTCGAATAGGGTCGAATTTAATTGAAAATTTGATCGGATTGAAAACAAAATTAATTTTTTAAACTCACTCGCCTATGGCAGAATTAAGTTCTAAATATTTAAAACAAAAAGAACTGCATCATCCCCAAACTAGAGATGGGAAATCTCCATCCTACCAAGGACGATCCTGAAACCCTCAAACACAACTCTCTCGAAACATCCAGAGAGCATCTGACTTAGAATGCCAGCAGCAATCATGAAGAGAAAACGAATCACGAGATCCTATTGTCTCATAGAAATTAAGAGTTAGCATCTCCTTCACCTTCTTCATCTTATTTTTTCGCCTCCAATTAATTTCTCCTTAATAAACAACTAATCAAAAGTCATTCTTGAAAAAGACAACCTCATAAGCTGATCATCATTAAGAAAAGTGTTCGAAATGATCTACTAGACCAGAAATCTCATCAGCATATCATTTTGTACTCCAGTATCACCAAAAACGTTTACTATAGCTGTGACTACA